CAGCGCGAGAGGCCCTCGGATGATGCCGCCTGGTGCGTCAGTGCCCGCGCCTGGCTCTGCCAACTTGGCCCCTCCGCCCTCTTAGGGCCAATTGTGAAGGGGCTGGGGAATATTTCGGCCAAGTCGTTTTTCATTTTATAAAGGATGTATTTTACTCCCTTTCAGGAGAGTTGTGCTGCCTTGTGGGTCAATATTTGTTCTTTAGTTTCAACATCTTTAGAAGCATTAAAACCCTCCCTGTTAAATATTCTCCAGAAACGCAACCCTGGTCAGGACAGGAAATATTTTAGCAACCTCGGTGGTCGCCTACTTTGTGGCGTTTTGCTCAAACCACTTTGAAACACACCTACCAATTGTGTATGATACGATTTTATTTCAAAGCCCTCGTAGGACTTCGTTTTGTTTTCAAAACAGCTAAAGCAGTTGTCTGAGTGGTGGACAAGAGTGGGGGAGGTAAACCCTATGACAAGCGTCTAATGGTCAATTAAGTTACAACGGTGTGACACATAATGCTATTTTTGTCTGCGTGATGGCACAATTTACCTACCTTATTTTTCTCTTTCCATTCAGACTTTACCAGTTCCTCTAATATAAGTAGCCCAAAGATTTGGCTTTTGGCCGAATGAGAATTAGTGATCTAAGAAATACCCTTTTGTAACATTCCCTCCATACAATGCCAGTTGTTTCTCCATGACCCAAATTGGAAAGAACTGAGATGAATTTGTACCATTTTGCTGACACAAACTCAGAGAGGGCTGGGGAAGAGAAGGTTGGCTGCCAGGCATAGAAATAAGGGGTTGATGGTCCCGCGGGGGAAAGCATTGGGGTTCCTGTTGAGCCCCCTGAGAAGGCACCTGGGTTTTTCATCACCTTCCTGTTGAAGGAGACTAAAGTTTTGCCACTGGAAGCTGCCTTTTGGAATACTGGCCTTTAACTGGTTACTAAGAGACAAAGACTCAGAAAAGAACCTTTACTCTCCTCCTTTCATGGCCAAGAGACTGAGAAACACCTGCTTCAGGAAGGGAACCTTAGGACCTCGGATGTCTGTCGCCTTCGCCTAATGTGAATTAAGCGTGGCAAGTAGGAGTGCGTCAGGCAGGGGCCTGCTAGCCAGATACTCCCCGTGTCCCACTGTTTCCTAGTTGCTTTGGGGGATTTTCATACCACCTGTGTTCCCTCTTCTTTAACTCCCTATAAATTGCCCATTCTCACTTCTGAAATCTTAGACCCCTAACCGCCCCGCCCCCCCTTAACCCTCAACCTTTTTCCTTTGTCCAAAATGTCATATATACCCACTGTTCCCTCACTGCCTTTGGAATTTTCATGCTTATTTGAATTCCTTGCATGTATTAACATTTTTATTTTCTCTTGTTACTCTGTCTCTGCTAATGTGATTATTAGCTCAACTAGAAGAATTTAGAAGGTGGGAGGGAAACTTTGTGGGTTTTTTAGCCCCCACACTGTAACTCTTTGGACATCTACCCGCCTGTTCTGCTTCCACTTTGCACCTTCCCCTCCACTCCTGCTCCCATTTGAGTCTCTGGTGCCTCTGGAGAGCCAATGATGATGCTTTCACTCCTTACTGCCCCAGAGCTAGGAAAGCCCTGTTTCTGGCCTACGGGCTAACCAGAAGATCTTCTGATTAGGCCGGTTTTATCACAAGATGTATAATCCCGACCAGCTCCAGAGCCACTCCTGCAGGCCACACAGGTGGTAGTATCTATGCACTGTAGGTGGGAAAGGACTTGAGGGCATCTCTCAATCTCCTGTGCAATGCTTGGATCCCCTCTGCCATTCCAGAGTAGAGATCTTCCAGGTTCTCCTCCAACACCTCTAGTGATGGAGAGCTCCCCACTTTGGACAGCTATTATGCTAGAAAAGTTCACCTACATTTCTCCTAGGTCAGTGGTCGGCAAACTCATTAGTCAACAGAGCCAAATATCAACAGTACAACGATTGAAATTTCTTTTGAGAGCCAAATTTTTTAAACTTAAACTATATAGGTAGGTACATTGTTATTAACTTAATTAGGGTACTCCTAAGGCTTAGGAAGAGCCACACTCAAGGGACCAAAGAGCCGCATGTGGCTCGCGAGCCGCAGTTTGCCAACCACAGTCCTAGATCATATTCTGGTGGTCCTTACACGCACCATATACTGAATAAATGTAGGGGATTTCAATGCACTTTCATAGTGGTTGTTTTTATAGCAAGATGTTTTCATTTATTTGTTAGATGCTTAAAGGTCAGTGTGTGTAAATGTTCCTCCTCCTACTCAAGCTCTCTCTTAATGCTAAATCAATGAATCTGTTGTCCCAGACACCGGCAAAGGAAACAGTTTATTTTGGCATCCTCTCTCGGATTTCTTCATGTTCACGGTACGTGAATACAGGTCAACAGGTCAACTGATGTTTTTAACTTTAATGCTTTGAAATTTGTCTACATAAAATACAATTTCAAATATGCACATATAGATAAAATATCAATGGGAAAAATGTTCACAGCAATTACCTCTGTGTGATAGGATTAGGGGCTGTAAAGGTGGGTTTGTTTGTTTTTTTATTTGGCTCCAAATTTTCCTACAGTGAAAATGTTTAATCAGAGTATAAAACAGATATTCTCTTTGAAAATAGTTTTTTTCTAGATGTAAAATTATATTGCATATAATACACACAAAGGTTCATTTTCTTTCCTGTCCTGGAGTGACAGACCATGTTTCATTCACCTTGGTATCAGCCCCTACCAGCTATTCCAATGGATTCAGCCAAAGACTTGCACATAGCCCTATCTGCTTTGGCTCAGTGGATAGAGCATTGGCCTGTGGACTGAGGGGTCAAAGGGTTCGATTCCTGTCAAGGGCACATGCCCAGGTTGGGGGCTCGATCCTAGTAGAAGGCCTGCAGGAGGCAGCCAATCAATGATTCTCATCATTGATGTTTCTATCTCCCTCTCCCTTCCTCTCTGAAATCAATAAAAATATATTTAAAAAAAGACTTGCACATAGTAGGGATTCAATCAATAGATATTGATTTAATTTGTTGTGATAAAATTAGTCATTTTAGGTAAGCTTCAATAAAACGTTTATTTAAAAAAACCTGGTCAGCAGTCATTCTTTCTAAAATATAATTTCTCAGGATTTAGTCCTTGTAGCAGAGGGGGCTAACCATCCTTCTATCAAAAAAAATTTGTACTCTCCTTCCATTATGTACACTTTTGGGGAAGAGGGATTGGCCAAAAGGAACCTCCCCACTTCCTGCATCTCTGTAAGGCCATAGGCCTAAGTTTTGGTCAATAGAAGGTGGACTAAAGTGCTGTGTGCTGTGTGCACGGAGATAGGGCTCATGAAAGCTGCCCATCCAATTTTCCTGGCTCTCTCTCCTTTCTCACCTGGCCACTGGTAGAGCCTCCATCAGCCTGGGACCCCCAGCAATGATTAATTTTATGTGAATGAGAAATAAACTCTCATTGGATTAAGCTGCTGAAATTTGGGGTTACCTGTAGTAACAGATTTAGTGTTACCTTAATGAATGCATCAGCAAACAAGCCACTAACTCCTAGGAAATATTGAAAAATGTTTTACCATAATTGAAAGAAGATCTGATGCAATAAATGTATGCTCTTACCATTATAAAAATTAAGCATTTCCAACCAGTTCCCTTTTGTACAAAGTGACATTTACATCCATATCCTGACAGATAAGGAAAAACAGAAACAGAAAAAATGGGTAGCAATTATCTTCTGACTGCATTCAAAAGATGACAAAATAATTGGTGAGAAAATGAAGATTATTCAGCCAACATGTCCCAGTACAAAAAGTCAAACTCATTTTTTTCAACGTGGTTTTTTCAGTGGTAACAAAGCTGTCATTAAATTTAATCAATTTAGTTACTTGATTAATAATCTCTGAGATGCCTGGTCATATCCATCAATTAGGTGCAAAAGGCCAAGGTGAAAGGGCCCTTTGCAGTTAGCTGCCAGGATGTGCCTGACATGCCTGCTGTTATCAGGGAATAAAGACCATGTGGATGGTCTTTCTCCATTGCTAGTGGGATTTGAAGTATTTACAATATCTTGAGAGACTTTTCTGAGACTCACACGGGAGGATGAGTGATTTTTATCTGCGTGGAATTACATCCCTGGGTTTCCAAAGTCCCATTTCCTTTAATCCAGTCCTGGAAAATGTGTAGCTGGGGATTCAACAAAGCTAAAAGCAAAGTCAGCATCCAAAGTTTCCTTTCTGTGATGGAGTTGGGTCCAGTATAGCATTAGCTAGTTGCAGTCCATCAGTCCATTGTGTGGGGTCCACATGGCTCACAGCAAATACAGGGGGGCCAGGAGGGCACAGCCCCTGCAACAAGAGTCCCAAGAACACAAGTGAGCGTAAGAGTGGACCTCTTTGTTTGGGAGATTGAATATCTTAAATTTCCCTGCGTTGGCAGTGGCCACGCTACTCTGGCCAATGACCTGTTCTCAGGTGTGACTGACAGGCAAATATCTTCCCGATTTCACCCATTACTGTAGCTTCCTGGCAAAGATGCACAAATGGCATGCCCATAATATTTGGCCTTCCCTTTGCTTATTTCCAGTGATTAAAATAACTCAGTTTATTACAATTTTGGCTATTTTATTAGCATTGCTTCCTATAGAAATAGTTAACCACAGTGGAAAATGTTAGCAGTTTTGGAATTAAATATTATGTGTGTTTATTAATAAAGTATACTACTGAAAAGCATAATCTTGTTAAGCAAAAAGTTTAAGGAAGTTAAGCCATTCTTTGGTATATCTGTAGGCTTTTAAAAAGAGTTCCTGGGATTTTTATTTAACCCTTGTGTTGGTGTTTGACATTTTATGATCTCTGTCTAGATTTTAAATTCCTTAGAGGGAAGGTCTTTGTATATTCCCCTATAAGCAGCTAGTATGATGCGCTATACAGCCCATGGGTGCACTCTTTAATTTAATCCTATTTAAGCTGGTAGTTTTGGGGCAGGTCACTATCACTTACTAGCTGTGAGACCTTGAGCAAGTTAATTAATTTCTCTGTGCTTCGGTTTCTCACAAGTAAAAGCTGTATTTCTGTTCAAGGGAGTATGTAATACAAATATTGTGGCTTTATTGAAATAGTTAAAAGATCTTGAGTAAGGTTGAAATCAGCATTTAAATATTTAAGGAAAATTGGTTCATGAAACGGATAGTTTGACTTATGAGTTGCATAATAGTGTTTAAATATTTGGGAAAATGTGCTTAATCAATGTAAAAGCTTAATAAATTGAACATTAAACAAAACTAAGTAGTGGTAAGTGTACTTTCCAGGCCAGAAGTCCCTGAGACATTAAGGATCCTAGCAACAGACAAGACAAATTTCATCCAGTACATTTAACAGGTTGTACCTTAGAGTAAAAATGTATGAGGTCTGGCTATTACTATTGAAAACAAAATCCAGCTAATACGCTTAGCAGGAAAACCCAGTTAGCAGCTGCATGGGTTGCTTTTTGCGCTTATGTCTCTTGATAAGGATTATTTACGTTGTGGCTTGATGAGGCTTGGATCACAGACTAATGTTTTGCCACATTCACCTCTCTAGTAATAAGCCCAAGATTAGTTCCTTTAAAACACTTCCTAGATCCAGCTTTCTCAAGTGAGGGCAACTGAGAGGTGAGGGTTTTAGAGAAAAAAGTAGGCCATGCAACCTGAATAATCAAAGAATTTTTAGGAAGAGGAAAAATTAATATTCCATTTTATCTTGGGTTGATGTTAAACCCTTCCACCTCCCCCAGTGTTCATTAAAGTTGCTATATAAACAGACACACCCAAGGTTGTTCTCACTTCATATCGCTGTCTTGAAAGAATGATTCCAGTTGCCAATTTATGCTAATGGATATGTTCAGAGATATGTTGATGATGCTTCCGAGCTGCATGACGATTCCACTAACTGCAGAATCAGCATGTGCAGCTGTATTTCTGAAATGGTTACTTCAGCGTGCCGCTTCCCTGGCTGATCTAAGATGCTCTGAAGATTCTCCGAGGACTTACACGCTAATGATGCTTAGGGATTCGTGTCCTGAAGAACTCTGTAATCCTGTGCTTCCTGAATCCCACTCTAAGCCAGGGCCTTCTGTCACACCGCAAGAGTTACAGGCAGTTGGAAAGCTCTGCTAAGCAACCATTCTGCTTGGCCTTTGGGGTTCAGTGAGGTGCCGCTTAGGATCTACGCAGCAGCCTTGATCAGGATGTAGTTCCTTCTTGGCCCTCGGTCCCAGGTGGTGCTCTGAGGGTCTTCCTTCCTGAACAGCAGCAGTAAAGCCAGCCTTGCCATGGGCGAGGTCAGCCAAGAGGCTGTGGAGAGCTACCTGGAGGACCACCCTGGGTTTGCCGAGGAGTACTTCCACAGGAAGCTGCGGACAGGGGCGCTGGGAGAAGCCTCCAAGCACAGCGAGGTGCAGGGCCTGGCCAGCGGGTCCTCCCCCGGGCTGTCCACAGAGGAGGAGGCAGCCCTGTGCTTGGAGCTGTTCCAGGCCATGCAGGAGGACGCGGGCAGCGCCGAACCCGCAGCACACTTGGTCCTGAAGAGGCTGGCACGGCTGCTGCGGGCGGATCGCTGCAGCCTGTTCCTGTGCCGGGCCCGCAACGGCTCGCCCGAGGTGGCCTCCAGGCTGCTGGATGTCACCCCCACATCCAAGTTTGAGGACAACCTAGTGGTCCCTGACAGAGAAGTGGTGTTTCCATTGGACATCGGGGTAGTGGGTTGGGTTGCTCACTCAAAGAAAGCCCTTAACGTTCCAGATGTAACAAAGGTAAGTGGCCTGAGGGCAGGGGGGCGGAGATGAGGACTTGGCAGGGTCCTGAGGGACAATGGGAAAGAGAGCTGAGGTGGGGGTGGGGGGTAGGTGGGCATCCTTGTGCCATGGGTTTGACTCTAACCTGGGGAGTGGGGGCAGCAGAGGAGTACCCAGCTCCAGGGCTGCCAGATTTAGCAAATAAAAAATTCCAGAGGCCTAGTTCAATCTGAATTTCAGATAAAGAATAAATAATTTCATTGTGTAAATTTGGCATTTTGTCAGGTAACTTACCTGGGCCAGGTACAGTTCACACCTTCGCTTACACCTCCATGCTCTGGGCACATGCTTCTAACAACACCACACAGGCTGCCCCTGGGGAGCTCAGCCAACAGTCAGATGCCGCTCCCCATGCCTCTCACCCACAGCACACACGTCTTTGGAGTGGATTGGCTCCCAAATGGATTCTTTCACCTATAGACCAAATGTGCAGAAAGAAAAAATAATACCATCGGAAAGTTCAGGTTTAGATCATCACCCCTCTGCCCTGCATAATGCAGATCTATCAAGAATGAATTCCAATCTGGCAAATGGGATGTTTGGGCCCCCCTGAGACCAATATTGCACAAACGGTTATCTCCTTTTGAAACATAACATTTAACTACTCCTTACCATTGCAATGCTGGTTTCTTTTAGGAAGATTCTAAAATACAGATAAAAAGGAGGAAATGCAAGTCACCCATAATCCTTCCACTCTGCAAGAGCCATAGGCAACAACAGCCTGGAGTTGGAGAAACTTTTTCTACACGTGTCCCATTATTTTGATTTGCTATTAACGAAAGGGGAGAGGAGGATTATGCTGCCAGGGAGTCCACGGGGAGCCACCTCCGAAAGGCTTTCCGCGTGGAGGCCTGTGAAGGGGGCAGCTGCAGGCAGGAGGATAATCTCCCTCCTGCCTCCCAAAGCTGATTACGGGGAGGAGAGGAGGGGCCCACCGATCCAGAAGTCATGAGTTGTCAAATATTAGCAACACTCAGCAAACAACCACAGGACAGCTCTCAGGTGCAAGGGTTGCTGCAAGCTGGACACATTAGTCCTCAGTCCTTCCCCACCCCTCCCTTCAGGGAACTGAGGCTGCTTCAAGAGGCCTACTGCAGCTTCTTTGAGTGACTAAACCGAGCTGTGTCCTACGGCAAAGTTCCGGGGACACCATTTAGAAGGCTGTCCCCACACACCTGAGTTTTTCTCGTGGAAATGTGCTTTTGGCCAGTCTCCAGCTGAGCCCATCTCCCAAATTACTAGGACATCAAACTTAAGAAAGTGACAAGCAAGATTTTTTTTCTTTCTAAGGAGAGATGGATAAGATGACTTCTGCTGTCATACTTTACTAATGAGCCCCGTTCTCCTTGTTGAGGGGAAAAAGGTAGAATGGAGCTGCTGAAAAGGTCAGTTGGCCTTGGTCTGTTGCTGTCCGTGGTGAGCGCCCTGCGTGGACAGGGCAGGTGATGTGGGGTGGGTGTGCCATGTCTCTCTGTCCTCCCTTTTCCTGAGGACCTCTGGCTGTTACCGGTGAGACAGAGGTGAGTGTGTTGAAGACAGACACCCTCCTGAGCTCAGAAGAGAGACAAAGACCTCATTTCATCTCCATTTTTATGTTTTTCCCAAGAGTGGTGCTTTTCAGCTTTCGATGCACATTAAATCAAATTGGGAGTTTAAAAATACTGGTGTCTGAGACTCTCGGTAGATCAATTACATAGACTCTGAGGGGTTGGCATACAGGCAGTAATATTTTTAAAAAGCTCTTCAGATGATTCCACTATACGGCCAATGTTGAAAACCATTCCTCTCTGGGTGTGCAGATGGGAGAGGAGGAAGTGAATTTCAAGTCAACTGTGGGATAGGAGATGGAAAGGGCTCCTAGAGTCCTTAGTCCAACTCTTTCCTGGGGCAGATGGGAAGCTAGGGTCACGGGAGCTGTGTCTCTCCCAGAGCTCATGGTCTGGTCAGTGAATGAAAAGGGCTGGAAGAGAATCGAGGCCTCACCCTCACCAAACCCCATGTCTCTGCCGTTTCTTTCTAATGTGCTCTTTAATTATTTTTTTAAAATTTTAATTTTTTAATTACAGTTGACATTCGCTATTATTCTGTATTAGTTTCAGGTGTACAGCAGAGACAGTTATATACTTTACAGAGCAATTCCCCCAATGTTCCCAGCACCCACCTGGCACCCATGACTGATCTGTAACTATCAATCTGTACTTGTAATCCCTTCATTTTTTTCATCTAGTCCCCGACCCCTGGTAGCCAGCAGTCCATGCTCTGCAAGTTCACCACCTTTCCGTCACTGTGGCAAAATCTGCAAAGAGAAAGGTGACAGAAACTGATGTTTTAAATGAAATTTCTATTAATTCTTCACCTTTTCCTTGCACTTGGCATGTTATAAAGATTTTCTCATTCTCAATCTCACTGGATTCTGGCAAAGACCCTGTGGGAAAGGCATATCTATTTTTCCATCTTGTCTATATGAGACTCTTCACAAGGTCAATGAGGCAGGATGTGGTGGGCCTGGGACCATAACCCAGGCCTTCAGGGGCCTCCATCTTTTACTACACCGCTGACCACACACAACTTCTTTCGGCCAGCAGTGTGTGCACAGGTGAGGGAAGGTCTTCTCACACCCAGACAAAGGCAGAACTGGCCCTCGGCCCCAGGTGGTGCTCTCAAAACTGGGGGTCCACAAAGGTTGTAACAGGGAAGCCACATGGTGTAGGGCAGTGGTTGGCAAACTGCGGCTTGCGAGCGACATGCGGCTCTTTGGCCCCTTGAGTGTGGCTCTTATTTTGTGGAAGAGCCACACTCAAGGGGCCAAAGAGCCGCATGTGGCTCCCGAGCCGTAGTTTGCCGACCACTGGAGGGTGACAGCTTTGATATCAGACAGACCTGGATGCACATCCAGGTCTGAGATGAGGAATGATGTGGTGGATTGTTTCTGCACCTGAGAAATGGAGGTAACCAAATATACGGATTAAATGGACATGAAGTGCCTGATCGTTTTTTAAATTTTTTATCTTTATTGTTGAGAGTATTACAGAAGTTCCCCATTTCCCCCAATGCCCCCCACCCACCTGGTTCCCACTCCACCCCAGGCCTTCACTGTACTATTGGTTGTGTCCGTGAGCTATGCATGTAAGTGCCTGGTTCTGGTAGGTGGATAAATGATCACTTTGACAGTATCACATTTATGCCAAAGGGGATTGGGGGCTGTGTGTGGGTGGACAAAACTGGGTCAAGGGTTATTGCCTGTTTTTAAAATAGGTTAAAGGCAGGAAAACTTTGAATAACAGGAAACTGAGAGATATTCTTTCAAGTTAATAATTTATTTTTCTACTGGGAAAGCTGCTGATTAATTCTATGGATAGGTGATTCTCGTTCTGACTGTGGTTAAAAGAAAGCCATGGAGAAGCCTACGTTTTCAATGATTAACACGGCGCTATAGCCTCCTTTCCTCCCTCCTCTCTCTTCCTTCCTTTCTCTTTCTGACTCCTAATCTCAAGGGATAATGGTATTTAATCAGAATTTAATAATGCTATGATCCAGGTGGGCTACTGTTCTACACAATGTTCTCTCCAATGCTTTTAGTGGCTGCTTTGAAGAAGGACCATCAAGGGGAGTTTGTGATTTGGAGAAATACAGAAATTAACCAAACAAACGTCAATAAGGATGGTTTGAGCTGGTGAAAATTAAAAAGGAGAAAGCCCCATTTCTCCTTTCCTGTGTTTGGATGGGTGATTTCATCCAGGACTTTCAGATACAATAATAAGCAAGCATTCTATTTTCAAACGTATAAGCCATTTTCTCAAAACAGCCAATTGAACTTGAGAGCATTTCCTTGTGTGTAGAATCTAGCAGGGGTGGGCAAACTTTTTGACTCGAGGGCCACAATGGGTTCTTAAACTGGACCGGAGGGCCGGAACAAAAGCATGGATGGAGTGTTTGTGTGAACTAATATAAATTCAAAGTAAACATCATTACATAAAAAGGTATGGTCTTTTTTTTTTTTTTTTTTAGTTTTATTCATTTCAAACAGGCCGGATCCGGCCTGCGGGCTGTAGTTTGCCCACGGCTGATCTAGAGCGAACTAGCATCAAGCATTGAAGTTGCAGAGTGGAGTGTCCACCAGGAGATGCTGACTGGACTCCGTGGTGCATGTTTCTGGCATTTTGATTATCCCTCTAGTGGCCCAGATTGCTGTGTAAGTGAAGGTGATCATGCTCTGTAACGGGTAACAGTTAGGAGGAAATCGGAACATAAGCTGGGCAAGCAGTGCAATAAGAGAAAGTGCCTGAGAGTGAAGATGCTACTGGAGCAGAGAAGTACCAGACAAAGTAGTTAGGGAAGAAATGTGGCTCTTGCTGGCATGGGGCAGTGTTGGCCCTCAGAAGGAGGTATGGTCTTCCATCAGTGAAGAGCATTTACTTTCTTTACTGATTAGAACTAGTTAGAAAAACTAGAACTAAAAGCAAAATGGTAATTGTAAAAGATAGCTATTTTTCATCCAGGGAGACCCAAAAAGTTTCAGGTTTCTCTTCCTGGTATATTTTGAATGCCCACTATGTGTCAGACACCTCACATTTTCTTTGTGAAGGATCCCATTTCTAGGGATTCTCCACAGGAGTGATTCACCCACTAAAAGTATAGATTGCTGGGGAAGACAGACCCCACTTTAGGAGATTAGGGTTGATGGGTCTGCTGTGAGGTCTGCAAATCTGCGTTTACCTGCAGGGGATTCTGAGGCACAGGCAGGGACTCCTGCTCTGAACTGAGCATGAGCGCTGTTGACCAAGCAGCCCATGTTCCCTGGTGGAAATTCCAGTCCAGAAGTCACACCAGTAGACTCTCACCTTTTTACTTTGGGAAACTGATCAGAGTCCAGTCTCCAAGGTTTGTGCTGCTCTTAGAAGCACCATCAACATTAGGAAATGGAAATAATACAACTTGTGGGAGAACACCACGTTAATTTTGGCCAAGGATTCTCAGAGCTAGGCTGTAAGTTCAGTTCTAATCGAAGAAGCCTCAGGTCCAAAGAGAAGCTAGTCAGGCCCAGGGAAGGCTGAGTCTATTCCCATGCAGAGTCGTATTCCTCTGACTTACAGCCAATAAGACAACCACCATCCTTCACCTTCTTCTCAAGCCCTTTTGTTTACGCACCTTACCAAACTCACCTCTCTGCTCTTTCCATGGTGAGTGTATTAGAATCTTCTCCTGCATCTACCACGTGAGGCTTGTATCTGGGAAGATCTACTTCCTCTCTGCTCAAGAAAGACAAAAAAAAGTATATGAATGAAAGACATTAGCCTGGTAGAACAATAGCAACTGATAAGGATCTGGTGCTGGTAAGAGGGTGGTCCTCTCATCTATGACCATCAGTGGAAGTAAGAATTCCAACCTTTTGTAAAAGTAATCTGTGTAAATAAAAACTGCATACACCTGGTGACCCAAAAGGGATTTCCACTTTGGGAAACCCATCACGTAAACATAAAAGCAAGAATGATCAGTGCAGCATTGTTTGCAGTGGAGAAAACTACAAACAGAATGAATCAGTACAGGCTGGTTGAGTGGATCATGGAGCTTCCACACTGTCGAGTAATGTGCAAGAATTTAGGAGGTAAATTTGCATCTGTATGCACTGGTTTGGAGAGACGTCCATTACATTGTTATGTGATGAAAGTATTGTATGAAATGAGTAAGGAATTTTTTTTTAAAAACACACACACACACACAGAGAGAGAGAGAGAGAGAGAAAGAGAGAGAGAGAGGGAGAAGAGCACTGGCTCCTTGGTTAGAGTGTTGGCCTGCACACCAGAGGGTCACAGGTTTGATTCAAGGTCAAGGGCAAGTTCTTGGGTTGCAGATTCCATCCCTGCCCCCAGTCCGGGCGTGTGTGGGAGGCAACCAATCAATGTCTCTCTCTCTCACATCGATGTTTCTCTCTCTCTCTTTCCCCATTCCACTCTCACTAAAAATCAATGGGAAAATATCCTCACTCCTTGGGTGAGCATTAAAGAAACACACCAAAAAAAAGCCCCAGAAAAGTCTTTGTCAAAGCGTAGAGCAAGGCCTAGAAGGAGACATACCAAGCAGTTAACACTGATTTCCTGGCAGGCGAGATTAGAAGTTTGGGGGAATACTAAGTTTTCTTTAGGTGATGATGTACTGGTTCTCTGGTTTCAACTGCACATTTTACTGTTGTGAGCTCTGTGAAACACACCTGTAACCCCAGCTGTGCTCTCCTTCCCGCCACACGCTTTCTGTTCATTGTAACCATTAGTCTTTCCCTCCCTTCCTCTTAGCATCTTCTATCCACTTGGCCGTGGCATCACCTCTTTTCTCCTGGCCCAACCTCAGCCTAACCTGGATAGGCCACAGCTCAGCTGGAAAACGCTCCCTCTGAAACGGGCAATTTCGTTCAATGCAATCACAGGATGGGGGGTGTTTGCTCAGGACCACTGCGCTGGGGCCCCGGTTATCTGTCGATAGAATTTGGAATAGACGGAAGGACCTGCTGCCATTTCTAGATCCACACTCCATGCTTCTGTGCTGCTTGGCAAATGTGTGTGCATTTTTTTCAGAACAGCCATTTTTCTGACTTCATGGACAAACAAACCGGGTATGTCACTCGGAACCTGCTGGCAACCCCGATCGTGATGGGCAAGGAGGTTCTGGCTGTGGTTATGGCAGTTAACAAAGTAAATGCATCTGAATTCTCCAAGCAGGATGAAGAGGTAATGCTAACCCTGGGCATCCAGTCGGAGGCTTAGGAAATGTATTTGTTATAGATCCAAGAGAAAGATGTCACACCTAATCTGCTTTTTTCTCTGCTGTCTGTAGGTCTTTTCCAAATACCTCACCTTTGTTTCCATCATCCTAAAGCTTCATCATACCCACTACTTGTACAGTGTTGAATCTCGAAGAAGCCAGGTAAAGGGGAGGTGACACTGTCATGCTGACTTATTCTGACAAAGGGGCCTGGAGGCAACAAGCCCAGACCCTCTCTCTCCCCTGTGGTGGTTTAGCCCACATGGAGCAGATCCCCAAACTTCAGCCCCAGATGTCTTCTCAAGGTCTGCCCTGGCTTTCCATTCCCACCTGCCTGCCATTCATCTGTATGTGCACTGGGTTCCTTTTTTCAGACACCAAGGTGGCCATGATTTCTTCATCTATGAGATGGCAATGATAATTATAGTACCTACCCCACATGGTTACTGTGATTCCTAAATGGCCATTAGGTAAATTAGTTTACATAAAGCTCTTCGTAGTGCCTGGTACATAAAGCTATTAATTTCAGGAGCAAATCATTCCTCTGAAGTCTGTTTCCTCCTTGAGCCAGCAAAATAAAGAACAACATTGGGCGCTAGCTGGTTTGGCTCAGTGGGTAGAGTGTCAGCCCTCAGACTGAAGGGTTCTGATGAGGGTCAACAGGAGCCAGTGGGCCACCAATATTGCACTCTGCTTAGGGTCTGTCTCTGCATCCAATTTTAGATGATCTGCCCTTCGAAGCCAAAACACTTGGACATAGGAACCAATCATTGCTCATCTTCTTTCCTAAGCCCACAGCCTTGCAAAGGGCTACTCATTCTCCCACACAGAGAGTCAGTATTTTGCCGGACGTGGACATGTTCAAAAATGGAATTGCATTGTCTAGTGATATGGATTCGTTTTATTCGATGCAGCTCATGGCTAAAGCTCTATATTTTCATAGTGTATGTTGTCCTAACTGTTTTATTTTTAATATCTACTTTCAGATCCTTATGTGGTCAGCCAATAAAGTATTTGAAGAGCTCACAGACATTGAGCGACAGTTTCACAAAGTGCTCTACACAGTTCGAACATACCTGAACTGTGAGCGGTACTCCATTGGACTGCTGGACATGACCAAGGAGAAGGTCCTCACTGCTCCACCCATTTCTGTCTTGCTTAAAATCACCTGTAAAACACATATCACACAAAATGTGGTTCATTTAAAAATGGATACCCTATGTGAATAATCAGTCATGATAGTTCACAAGAACCAGAGCCAAGAAAGTAAGGTACAGAGGTAAAAAATGAGCATTTTGGAGCAAAAAAGATGTGGACTTGAATCTTGGCCTTTCTATTTTCTAGTTGTCTGTGTCTTCAATGAGTCTTGTATAAAAAATAAATATTAATTAAAAGACTTTATTTTTTAAGAGAAATTTTAGGTTTATAGAAAAAACGAGCAGAACGTTCAGTTAGTTCCCATATTATCTGTCTCTCCTATTATAACATCTGGCATTCATGTGGTGCGTTTGTTACAGTTGATGAATCAATTTTGATGTTATTATTAACTAAAATCCACAGTTTACATTCAGATTCACTCTTTGTGTTGTACTGTCTATGGATTTGGACAAATGCATAATGTCATATATCTGCCAGTACAGTATCATACAGAATAGTTTACCTAAAAATCCTGTGCTCCTCCTATTTATCTCTCCCTCTCCCTACCCCAAGTCTCTGGCAACCTCTGATAATTTTTTTTTTTTACTGCCTCTATAGTTTTGCCTTTCCCATAATGCCATATAGTTGGAATTATACAGTATGTAGCTTTTCCAGATTGGGTTATTTTCCTTAGTAATAAACATAAGTTTCCTCCATGTCTTTTCAGGGCTCGATAGCTCCTTTTTTTTTTTAATGCTGAATAATATTCCATTGTCTGGATGCACCACAGTTTATTCATTCACCTACTGAAGGACATCTTGGGCGCTTCCAAATGTTGGCTATTATAAATAAAATACAGATCTTTTTGTAGACATACATTTTCCATTCCTTTGGGTAAATACCAAGGAGGGTTATTGCTGGATCACATGGTAAGACTATATTTGGCTTTGTGAGAAACTGCTAGATTTAATATTCTATAAAAGAGTTGCTCTTTATTGAGTACTTTTAATTAGGTATCAGAGTAGGTGCTTCGTATGTATTACTCACTTAATCCTCACAATGACTCTGTAGTATGAATTCTATTATTGTCCCCATTTGCTGATAAAAAAGCTTAAGTGACTTGTCCACACATGTTCCTATAAGCAGTATTGCTGGGAATTAGAGACGTTTTCCAGTGCTAAAATTCTGGAAGTATAAATTAACATAAAATATGCAAACATGAAATTCATATAAGATATGGTAGGTCATGGAACAGTTTAATAATGTTTAAATATAACTGTCTCCAGGAATTCTACGATGAATGGCCAGTCAAGCTTGGAGAAGTCGAGCCTTATAAAGGTCCAAAGACACCAGATGGCAGAGTAAGTGCCAATTGCCTTGGTGATATCCATACATGGTGCAAGGTCCCAAAACCAGAGGCAGCCACGCATAGAGGAAGGAGCATGAGCCCCAGAAGGCCTGGGTTCTAGTCCTGTAACTTTCTGCAGGACCTTCGAGTAGTAGAAAGAGTACTACATAAGGGTTTGAGGTTCCAGTCCCAGCTCTGCCCCAAGCCAGTGGGGTGGCCGGGCCTTAACTCATTGTTTAACTTCTCCTTTTCTGTAAATCCAAGGCTTGGGCCCAATGGTTCTCAACAGGGAGGGACACATCAGAGCTACTTGCACAGCTTTTGAAACACACTGTTCCCAGGTCCTTCTTCTGACATTGAATCTCTAAGGAAGGGTTGGGTTAGATTTATTCCCCACCTTCAACTGCAAGCTTCAAAGGGCAGGAATTGTGGTTTGCCACTGTATCCCCAGCACACAGGAAAGGCAAAGTGATGGGACACAACGTGTCCAGGCCTCAGGTTCTTCTCTGTCCAAAGAACTAGTGAGCTAGTTCTCACATAGTCACCGAATCCTGTTTCCAAGGCACTTGTCCAGATGAGCCAGTGCCAGAGGGAGTGAGTGCTCACTGCCCAGCTGAGAAGGGAAAACATTGACTGAGGTTGAGAAATGACAGGATTTGTTCTAATGAAGTTATCAGTCAGAACTTTCTGGACAATAGAAAGGGATTAAAGGAAAAACAAGTTTCCCCTAAAAATTTTTCAGGTGAATTCAACTTTGTAAATTTAATTAAATAGGATTGCTCATGTAGATAAATGGCCAATGATGTTTCTAGTTTTATTACAAGCTTGTCATCAGGACACCAGCAGTTTTCTAATTTATATTATGCCAAGAAATGTGGTTGGGAAATAAGGTACTATTCATATAAGTTCATCAGTGAAAAGCGCTTATTGGGAAATAAGATTTTTCTCATAATCTCTCTCTTTCCTCTTAGGAAATCATCTTTTATAAAATCATTGACTACATTTTGCATGGGAAGGAAGAGATCAAAGTGATTCCGTGAGTATTACCATAAAGCAGCTGTAGCAGTTGCCATTTATTTTTGTACCCAATGCACTTCTCAGTGTAGCAGTGATTTTCTTTTTTCTAATCTTCCTCAAGGACACCTCCCGCAGACCACTGGACTCTTGTTAGTGGATTACCAACATACGTTGCTGAAAATGGATTTGTAAGTTATTGAACAAAATTAAATAATACTGAATGTAACTCTTATTAGCTAAGAGTTGCAAACAAATGTGAAAGCCAGAATATATCAGGGAAAGGTGAGGGACCACTTCCTTTGGCACAGGACATCGGTGAGAGCAACCTTGGCAGTTGAATGTAGGTTAACTAGAGACTCCCAAACTCTACAAGAAAATATTTTGTCAGCAGGAGAAAAATTGATCCATTCCCCAGCCTTTATTTTTTCATTTCCATATATGTTTATTCATATTTACCTTGTCACAAAAAGGATTTAAGTTTCAACAACCAAATAAAGCAACATAACACAAAATAAAAATAGGTGAAAACGCAAAAGGAAAAAAAAATCAAGGGCAGGATGTAAATTAGAGCCAGAACTAAAGATAATGATGATTTGTTGCACAATGCCCTCCGCATTAATAAAATTAGGCTGCACATTTGCTCTTAGCTTTCCAGTTAAATAGGAAAACTGATCAGGTACAGATTTTACAGTGTTCCTATGATAGAATCATGTTGTTTAGAATAAAATACATTATATTCTGATCCAAAGACTAGAAAAACATGTTTTCCTTGCTGTCTCCATGAAGTAAATACCATGTAATACTATAAATAAGAGCATCATCTATGTAATACACGTAGTGGACACCAGCTTTTTAAACTGTAGCCACACAAATTTCAGAGTCCTTTAAAAGCCCATGACCATGATTGCTGCTGGGTTTAATTTTTACCTCAAGTACTGTTCCCTTGGTCAAGACTTTAGAAGCATGGAAGATTACTGACAAAAGAGAAAAATACATAAAGAGAGAATTTTGCCACTGATTGCAATGCAAGATGTAGTGAGTTGGTAAAGGATGTGAAGATTGTTGCTCTGGTCTGTTGGGTGGGCCCGGTGGACAGTAGGCTACTTCTGGCTGTGAGAGGTCAGGTGCAGGAAGACAACAAGCAAAAGATCTCTGGTAGGTCCCATAGGTCTCAAGGCCAGAGGATGGGGCCACCATAGCTTTCCCACTTGGCCTCAAAAACACTCTCCCTGCTTCACAGCTGACTTCTTTCTCCCGAGTTGGGCTTCTCCACCATCTGTGTCTTTTTTTTTTGACATCAAAATTCCTCCCTGCAAGAATGTTCGATGCTTTCAACATTTCTTTATGTTGGCATTTTTCTTTCCTCCCCCTTCAGATCCAAGTTCCTGAAATATATGTGCAGCATTTGTTTGCATATTTGTTTTTTTCTTTAGTGTTGTCCTTGTATTTTTTGCAGTGTTCAGTCATCTAGTTGCTTTGAATTTGGAAGAATCCTTAGAGGCTGGGAGAGTAGGAAGGTGCAGAGATGGTGCTACTAGTAAATGTCATCCAGTGACTTAATTAGCAGAAGAGAAGCTAACTTCAATGTGTTGTTAGCAAATTTGGCCTAGCCAAGGTCCAGTGCCAATAATTTGCTTGTGAGCTATCAAGACTATGGAGGAAATACTCACACCTGGTGTGTTCTTTCTTATTCTGCATTGTGGGTTTAATGGCTTCAGCACATGATGTTTTAGGACTTCTGTCTCCTCTTGCTTTACAGATATGTAATATGGTGAATGCCCCTGCAGATGAATACTTCACATTTCAGGTAATCTTGCCCTCTTCCAGGCCGCACCTCTCAGTGCTGAGGAAGAGGGGAGCAGCACTGCCTCCCTCTCCCCACACCATTTCTCTCCTCTCCAGAGTTGGCTCTAGACTCAGAGACAAAAAAACACACCAACAATTCTGAAGCATTTGGAAAATATCTTTAAATGCTAAATTAATGGTCTAGACTATAACTGCTTTTGGAACTCTGAAAAAGAAAATTTTTTCATATGAGTGAAAAAAGGTAGAGAAGGCTGCATGTGAGAGATGAGGCTTACCTGGGGCCTCAAAGGATGACCAACTAAGCTAACACGAGGCTGAAGAATGAATAATGTGATGTTGAGTGCTTGACTACCTTTGCTTTGCTACCTACTGTGTAGGTGCCACATCATGGTTCCATGATTCTCAGACTTCGGAGGGCATCAGAAGTATCCAATAATTTACTCAAGATTCATGCCCAGAGGTTATGAAACAAGCTAAAAAAAATAAACAAACACATTCATATGGCCCTAGGGCCACACTTTGAAAAACATTCCTAAATATCTATGTCTGCATCCCCCACCAGATTGTGGTCATCTTGAGGTTAGGGCCTGTGATGTATTCATTTTTGTATCCGGCAACTAGGTTCTGATACATCATAGGGGCTTGACAGATGTTTACCAGATAGAACTACATCACAGTACAACAGATTACCTTGATAGATCAGTCAGGAAAACAGAAACCACACTAAGTATTTCAACAGAAATAATTTAATATAAAGAATTAACTAAACAGGTGTTGGAGGGCAGACAAAGTGAAACAGGGAACACAGAGATAAGTGCTTCTCATCCCTAGGGCTGGGGAGACAAAGACAGGAGGACAGACACTTGGTTCTAGTACACTTAATTGAATGTACTAGAATACTTTTACGGCCATATAATCCTAGACATGTTCTGACACAACATAGAAATTGTGCGTCTAACACCCAAAGATTATTTTTTTTTAAATTAAAAATGACCCCAGTGGGGAGTGATGGGGTGGTAGTTATTATGGTGCTGGGTTAGTTTTGTATCTCTATTCTAGTGCAGGTTACACACATCTACTCATGTGATGAATTTGCATAAAGCCATACACACATGTGCACACACAAATAAATACATATAAATATGGTGAAATTTGAATAAGCTTCACAGATTAGGTCTATTTCCTGGTTTACAAGATGGTCCATTTAGAAAACTGGCTCAACGGTACCTGGGACCTCTCTGTACATTTCTTTTGCAACATTCTGTAAATCTATAATTATTTCAGAATTAAACATTAAAAAAAAAACAATCTGAGTGCCTTTATTGTTTTTAGAAAGGACCTGTAGATGACACTGGCTGGGTCATTAAAAATGTCTTGTCCCTGCCTATTGTCAACAAGAAAGAAGACATTGTGGGAGTAGCTACATTTTACAACAGGAAAGATGGAAAACCTTTTGATGAATATGATGAACACATTACTGAGGCAAGTGCAATTATAAAATAATGGAGGTAAATGAAATAATAGAGAATGCATAATTATTTGTTATTTTGGGATGATATTTTTGAAGGGCAATTAAGCATGAGTCACACAAGGTTGTAGCCAATATGTCATTGTGTCATTTCTCTTTCCTGACTTCTGTAAACTGCAACATTCTTTTACTAAAGAATGAACTTTTGGCTTAATCAAAATTCTTTACAATACTAGGAAACTGGGAAAGAAGGTTTCTGTATCCTTTCTCCCCACCCCAACTTCTATTCCCTCTTATTCTTGCTCTCACCCCCAGCCCTCTCTCTGATTTTCAGGTCATTCTTATTCTACTAGATTTTTGTAATTTCTCTCCTCTAATAAAGTATTCAGGATGCACAGTGCACTTTGGAAATCAGGGCTTAGTCATCTTTATTGTCTGGGGCATTGTTAATATGTTTTGTTCGTAGATTAAAAGGGAGATTGATAGGGAAGCATGTGGTTTGCTGCCTTCAAATCAATTTTCCTTTCATTTTAGAGAATTGAATCATATTTTATATATTTCAGACTCTCACACAATTTCTTGGATGGTCTCTTTTAAATACTGATACATATGAGAAAATGAATAAGCTAGAAAACAGAAAGGAGATAGCTCAGGAAATGCTCATGAACCAGACCAAAGCCACTCCTGATGAAATCGAGTCTATTTTGGTAAGTGGGGAATTCGGTACTGTGGATATTAGGTGGTATCTAACCAGGGCTTCTGGAATTCACCTAATTACCCAGAGGTCTGACTAATGAGAATAGGTTTAGTCCTCAGCTAAGGAGTGGGGGTAAAGAAGGAGGGACTAAGGGGGGACCTGGTGGCCCAGTGTACATGGACCCTGACTGGACTTTCAGGCTGCTTGGTTGGAATAGCACTTTGTTAAAAATAGTGTCTGGGCCTGTAGGAGCTCAAGTAGTGATACCTGGATTCAAGTGTGTTAGCAGGAAAAAAAAATATTTCCAGGAAGAGAAATATATCAGTCAGCCATTGCCATGTAATGCAGCATAACAACCATAACATCTCAGTGCTTTCCAACAATAAACATCTAATTCTCACTCAGCACTTGTGGGTTGACCAGGCTTCAATTGATCTTAGTTGGGCTTGGCTCCAAGCTGTGCATTTGGTTAGTTCTATGTATTACCCTCATTTTTCTTGATCAGGTGCTCCATAACAGGTATTCTTCTCATGAACATGACACAGAGCAACAGAGCAAGCCCACTGTTCAAGCACATTTCAAGTCTTTACTCATATCACATTCACTTAAATTCTCATTGGCCAAACATGACCAAGATCAACATCATGGATGGTGGGAGAAAAAGTAGATATTTGCTAGGAGTATTCTAATTACCACCAAATGAAGGAATATATCACACTATTTTTATTCCATTGTTCTTTTACTTATCCAGCTTTTAGAGTGTGTGTATAGGTATAGTTTTGATGGGTGGTTTTTAGTTGTGTGTCTTTTTGTTGTTGTTTGATTGGTTGGTTTTGCTGGGTAATTTGAGAGTTCAGAGAATTTGACTTGAGAATTTGAGATGTTGAAGATGAGAAGGTCTGGGGAGAATAAAGGGAAATTGCTATAAACTAATAAACAAACAAAATAACAAAAAATGTAAGCCACTTATTTTTCTTTCTTACCTACATACAAAAAAACCCCCAAAACCTCTCTCTCTCTCTGTTTCTCTCTCTCTCTCTCTCTCTCCTTACTCAGACAGCTTATGTTACCTTTTGGGGGAATAGAGAAATCAATTAGATTATTTCTTGGAGAAAACTCTTCATAATCAGATGCATTAGATTTTTCTTTTCTTTTTTTTGTATCCAGAATGTATCTTTGTCATGAAACTCATTACAGCATATTTAAAATATATTTTAACTGATTTTGAGAGCAGAGGAATCAAATAGAAATATCCTTTATAGGAATTTCACATCTCAATTGCTTCTACATTTTAGAAATTTAAAGAGAAGTTAAGTATAGATGTAATTGAAGACTGTAAAGAAAAACAACTTGTCACAATTTTGGTAAGTGTTTTACTTCTATCCTTAATGCCCTTTTAATAAAATATATTAGGACATGCTTTCTCATTTTTCAAATAAATGTTGAGTTTTTTCTTCCCTGACAACTTTCAAAGCTAAAAAGAAATGATATTTCTTCTAAAGAGTCATCTTCTGGCTTCCTGATTTCCTTTCCTTTGTCCCCTACAGTCAGATCCACACAGATAATTTAGAATCACAGCGAAATTAGACTATGGCATAAGGAACTTGAGGCACATATTCTAGAGATGTCCTGGTCGGATTTATTTTAATAGTTTTGGATCTCACCATGGCCACCCCAGAAGACATGATGGGATCACAGAACATATGAACCTTCTAGGAACAATGTATCAGGCACAATTATCGCCATCGCTAGCTTCTCTTTTGGAGCCTGGAGGAACTCAGTTTTCTTTTTCTTTTTTTTTTTAG